GATTTTATTTATTTGAGAGAGAGAGAATGAGAGAGAGCACATGAGAGGGGTTAGGGTCAGAGGGAGAAGCAGACTCCCTGCCGAGCAGGGAGCCCGATGCAGGACTAGATCCAGACACTCCAGGATCATGACCTGAGCCGAAGGCAGCCACTTAACCAACTGAGCCACCCAGGCGCCCGCCACTCACTTCTTTAAACATTTTTAATGATTTTCTTTTTTACTGTTTTATGACACTAATGAAAATTTTTATAATTCCAAGAGTGAGATTACCTGGTTAAAGACTGTATTATGGTCCTAGAAACACATTTTCAGCCTATTTTTAAGCAATGTACAATACCACTGGTAACGTATTAGAATACTAGTTTCACAACATCTTTAATAGAGGAATTTACTAATTTTGACTTTTGTTAATTTAATAGGTTTAGATCATAACTTTGATTTATAGCCCCTGTATATTTTAATATCCTTCATTAAAAAAATAAAACAGAATTAAAACTAATTTTAGCTGGTTTCCTCAGAAAGCTTGGAATTTTGGAGAAGTTAAATCTTTCAATACCGATAGTTTCCCTCTTTATCCAGTTGAGATTTCTTCCCATCTCATAGTTGATTGTTGTTCTGTGTCACCTTCCAGTTTTGCTATAAGAGCTTCCTTGATAGTTTCACCATTGGGTGGAAATGAATTTGCATTTCTTTGGTGTCTTGGTCTTTCAGACTGGGAGTGTGACTTAGCTGGAGGCACATCAGTCATCCTGCTTTGAAATGTTTTCTTTTTTTTTTTTTAAGATTTTATTTATGTATTTGACAGAGAGAGACACAGCGAGAGAGGGGACACAAGCAGGGGGAGTGGGAGAGGGAGAAGCAGGCTTCCTGCAGAGCAGGGAGCCCGATGCGGGGCTCGATCCCAGGACCCTGGGATCACGACCTGAGCCAAAGGCAGATGCTTAACGACTGAGCCACCCAGGCGCCCCTGTAATGTTTCTTACACTATATATGAAGATTAAAACTATAAAAGAGAAATAAGCTATCTACAATTTAGTGTGGTTATTGGAGAGTTCCTTTTCATTTTTTTTTAAGATTTTATTTATTTGAGAGAGCGAGAGAGAGAAGGAGAGAGAGCACAAGCAGGGGGAGTGCCAGAGGGAGAGGGAGAAGCAGGGAGCCCCATGGGGGGGCTTAATCCCAGGACTATGAGATCATGACCTGAGCCAAAGGCAGATGCTTAACTGACTGAGCCACCCAGGCGCCCCAAGGAAGAGAATTCCGTAGTACTTAGCTTTGTAGGCTAAATAGGATGTTTAAAGATTTGTGTAATTATCTGTATTTATTCTGTTCAGTATTTTATTTTTCAGAAATTTTATTCTAGGTGACATACTTATAGACTCCTTTATTTTTAATCTAGATTCAAATAATTAACATGTAGCGTATTATTAGTTTCAGAGGTAGAGGTTAGTGATTCATCAGTCTTATATAATACCCAGTGCTCATTACAACACGTGCCCTCCTTAATGTCCACTCCAGCTCCCCATCCCCCTCCCCTCCAGCAACCCTCAGTTTGTTTCCTATGATTAAGAGTCTCTTATGGTTTGTCTCCCTCTCTGATTTTGTCTTGTTTTATTTGCCCTTTCTTCCCCTATGATGCTCTGTTTTGTTTCTTAAATTCCACGTAGGAGTTAGATCATATGATAATTGCCTTTCCTGATTGACTTATTTCGCTTAGCATAATATCCTCTAGTTCTATCCATATCATTGGAAATGGCAAGATTTCATTTTTCGATGGCTGAATAGGATTCCACTGTATATATATACCACATCTTCTTTATCCATTCTTTTTTTTTTTTTTTTTTTTAAGTAATCTCTACACCCAGCATGGGGCTTGAACTCAAAAACCCCAGGACCAAGTCACAAGCTCTACTGACTGAGCCAGCCAGGCACCCCTAGACACATTCCTTATTTTTTTTCTTTCTTTCTTTCTTTTCTTTTTTCTTCCTTTCCTTTCCTTTCCTTCCCTTCCCCTTTCAGTTAAGTAGGCTCCACACCCGATGTGGGGCTTGAACTCAATATGTTGAAATCAGGCATCGCATGCTTTACCAACTGAGCCAGCCAGGTATCCCTAGACAGTCTTTAAATGCAATCTTTAGCTAGACTAAAATGGGAGTTTTCTATTGGTCATATCCAAATGACTGAAAGTAAAGACTTCAAATGTGCCTCTAGTTTAAGTGTACATGAAACACTCTTGTTAAATTTAAATGATCTTACTCTTTCATTTAAGATTGTCATTTTCTTCCCTTTTCTGTAACTTAGAGATGATCTTGAATTGGATCCCTTAAAGAGAATGGCAAAAAGTGAGTGAGGAGACAGGATTGGGGGAAGGGACTCAGGACTTCATTTTTATACAGTTCTGCAGTGAAGTTTATACCAACGTTCCTGACTAGTATCTAACCTGCTTTGAAAGGCATGTGGGACGTAAGGGAGACAGTTTTCTGTTCCCCACTGAGTATCCCAATGCTGGCATCTGCTCTTTTTGGTTTGACTTTTAGTGGAATAAAATCTAATAAGGTTAAACCTACCTGAGACCCGGAGTGAAAATAATTGGTAGGCTGTTTTGTTTTGTTTTGTTTTGTTTTGTTTTTAAACAATCCTGGAGTGTATCATTGTGTTTTGGGTCATGGATGGTTTTAGAAAAGCCTAGTTCATTTCTTGGCATCTGACTTCATGTTGCTGGTTGTGATTAGCGCTGACATCTAGAAGTGAGGCTGAGTTTGTAGAGGTAGTACATAGCACTGATAACTCATTGTTGCACAGACGACTCAAAACCTTTGGGAGTTAATCCTTGAAAAGCAGGGGTAGTAATCATAAGAGTTTGCAGACTAGATTTACTAAGGAGAAGTAATAGAGACTAAAGATCAGAAAAGCCAGATTTTCATGTAATATCACTGTGCATAGATTAGTCAGTAATGCTTGCCTTTCCCTTTGTTTCTAGCAAAAAAGAAATTCCTGTGTTTAATTTTACCATCCATGAGATCCACTGTCAAAGGAACATTGGTATGTGTCCTATCTGCAAGGAACCATTTCCCAAATCTGACATGGAGGGTCACATGGCTACAGAACATTGTCAGGTAAACCACCAAGTACTCAAATGTTCATAACTGTATTATACTTGCTATTTTGCAATAGCAAGTGATTATGTTATCACAAAGCCAATTTATTGTCACTTCTTGCCATAGGTGACCTGCAAATGTAATAAGAAGTTGGAGAAGAGGCAGTTAAAGAAGCATGAGGTTAGTTTCCCTGTACCATGAAGAGCATGAGTTACCATGGAGCTAATATTACTGAGATGACTCAGTTACATGCGGAGCAGAAAACCAGTCTGGTTGAGTCTTGGTTCTCTACCAGCTCCACAAACACTGTCTCTCAGAGTGTAGTGTTATTTAAGGCTTTGACTTTTTGCTGCCAGATTCAGCTGCATGGCTGTTGTGCCCCATGTTCAGGTCTCAGAGCCTTTCTCTCTGGAACTGAGTCTATCATTTCTGCTGGGGTTTAGCTGGCAGCCTCAGTGAATGCCAAACCAGGCTCGGGCTTGCTCTTTAGTACAGAGCCTGCCTAACATCTTGTAATTTCCTTTTGACTTCTTGATCACTTGGGTAACATGGTATTTACACCCGAAGGAATTCCTCAGAGTGCACTTGGTATCATTTGGTCCATAGTTGAAATAAAACTGGCCATAGTTGAATAAACATTGTTTTTGTGAACAAGCATATTAATTCACAAGTTAAAAAAAATCCCCTGTTTAGTTGGTCATGTAGTGTGATTACATATGTAAAAATTTACCAAGGTATGCCCTTAATATTTGTACACTTTTATTCTATGTACCTAAAATGACAATTTATAATTTTAAAAGGTAATTCATAGTCATTGTAGAAAAATATTTACCTGCTGCATAAAACAACCTCCAGTCAGCTGTCCTGTCTTCATTCTCTCCCCTCCAGCTATTTCTAGGGGTAACATGGTAATATATCAATCATTATAAACGTACAAGTACAAAGTATTTCCTTACATTCCTGCAAGTTAGACCAAGATAGTGGTAGACCAGAGATTAACTAAAGAGGTTTTTTTTCAATTTTCTTAAAAAAAAAAGTTTTTACTTTATTTGGTGCTCTGGTGAGTTATTAGCACTTTTTAGGGTGGTTAACATAGTACTTACTATGTTACCTGGTATGTGCCAGAAATATTTTGCTCTTGGCTGTTGAGTACTTTTTTTTTGGCTGTTGTAAGTTTCAATCAGTGGAATTTTTCTAATAAAATCTTCCTGAATCAGTATTATAGCTACATGGTATATAATTTTAAAATCACAAAAGCATATATGTAAAAATTGTCTCTGTCTCTTCCATTCCTGTTCCTAGGCTCTCTTTAATCATTTTCTTGTGCTTTCTACAAGAGATATTTCATGCATACACAAATAATGCTAAAAATGTTTAAAGTAACATTTAGAATAGAACTTGGGTTTAATTTGTATGAAAAGAAATTTTTGTTCTTTGGCACAGTGGTTGTAAAGTGTCTAAACTTTTGAAGTGATGTTACATTGAAGTTCTGAGTTTAAGTTCCGAAGTTTGGAATGTGTATATCAGAGTAACATATGCCTTTATATCTTTTTAATTTTTTGATGTTTTAGTTACAATTTCAAAATATGCTTTATAAAAGTTTTGTCCTTCATCTGCTGAGTGTTTATACTCTTGGGGTCATCTTTGTTGGTAATTCCTGGTTTACTTGGTCAATTTAAAACCAGTGCTGTATACAAATGTGCAGATTAGAAAAATCAGTGTCTTTCTAAAGGACAGCCTCTTTTCCTCATTACCAGGTACTTAAGATAGATTGGAGTAGTAAGGGGAAATTGGGCTGGTGGAGCTTTGGCAAACATCTGAATTGCTCTACTTTTGCTATTTGCTCCTGGGCTTTTCTGGCTGGTTTTGGGTTACTTTGTAATGGGTGCACAAAATGATGATAGGGTAGCTGAGTGAGTAGATTCCTTCTAAGAGTTTCTTTCCCTTTGTAGAATCTCGTGACAGGGACAAAGAGGGAAGCTGTGACTCCTGAATGCATAGAAAAGCATGGCAGGCAAAGCTAGGTTTGGAAAAGAATATTGAAGTAAATAAGTATGTTTGGCTTTCCTTTCCTGTATTAAAACATAGCCTCTCTTAGATTGGCCTATTAACTGCCTTATTACTCTGTGTTGCAGGAGACTGAGTGTCCTCTACGGCTTGCCCTTTGCCAGCACTGTGATTTGGAACTTTCTGTTCTCAAACTGAAGGACCATGAAGATTACTGTGGTGCCCGGACGGAGTTATGTGGCAATTGTGGGCGCAATGTCCTGGTGAAAGATCTGAAGACTCATCCTGAAGTTTGTGGAAGAGATGGGGAGGAAAAGAGAGATGAGGTTGCCATGCCTCCTAATGCATATGATGAGTCCTGGGGTCAAGATGGCATCTGGATTGCATCCCAGCTCCTCAGGCAAATTGAGGCTCTGGACCCACCTGTGAGGCTACCCCGAAGACCCCTGAGAGCCTTTGAATCAGATCTTTTCCATAATAGAACTACCAACCAAAGGAACATGACAGCCCAGTTTCCAATTCAGAATAATCTATGTGAGTTGTGTTTGGATTAGAAAACTGGAATGGTATAAAAATCTCAGGGCAAATGGGAACAGGAATTTGGGGGCAAATAGATCTTAATAATAGAAACCTGATTGTAGTTAGGTAACATTAGGAAGACTACCTAACTTTCCTATAGATTGGAAATAACAGAACCTTTTGCTGTTGGATTACTATTGGATTATAGCTAGTGTTGATGACGATGACAGTGACAGTTCTGTTAATAGCTAATATTTACTGAGTATACAGTATGTGCTTCAGGCATTTGTAAAGTGCTTAATATTACTAAATGATTTAGTTCTCAGTCATTCTTAGGTAAGTGGTAGAGCTGGGACTTGAATTCAGGCAGTCTGACTCCATGCTTCAAACTATTCTGCTATAGTGCAGAAATACATGAAAAATGTTTAGCACAGTGCTTGTCTCATAGTTACAGCTCAATAATTTTGGGTATTAATAAAACAATTAGAACAATAATGGAACCTTTTATCATAGCAGACTTAATGTTTGGAGTCCTGTGAGAACAGGAAGGCTAGGCTTTGTTCCTGCACTAATGCCTGTAAACCTTGAATATTTGCTAAGCATGGGGGGACTTGAGGTAGCAACATCTCTAATTTTTTTTTTTAAGATGTATTTATTTATTTTATTTTATTTTATTTTTTTTAAAGATTTTATTTATTTATTTGAGAGAGAGAAAGAGCACATGAGAGGGGGGAGGGTCAGAGGGAGAAGCAGACCCCTTGCTGAGCAAGGAGCCCGATATGGGACTCGATCCCGGGACTCCAGGATCATGACCTGAGCCGAAAGCAGTCGCCCAACCAACTGAGCCACCCAGGCACCCAAGATGTATTTATTTATTTTAGAGAGAGCGTGGGTGCGCACAAGTGGGACGGGCAGAAGGAGAGAGGGAATCTCAAGCAGACTCCGCCCTGAGTGCGGAGCTCAACACGGGGCTCGATCTCATGACCCTAAGTTCAGAAACTGAGCCAAAATCAAGAGTCAGACGCTTAACTGACTGTACTACCCAGGCACCCCTCTAATGTATCTTGAGTACTGATTATTTATTTATTTTTTCTTCCAGTGGAAGAACAAGAAAGGCAGGAAAGGAATAGAACCCGACAACCCCCAAAAGAGGGTGGTGAAGATAGTGCAAACTTGGACTTCATGTTGGCCCTAAGTCTGCAAAATGAAGGGCAGGCCCGCAGTGTGGCAGAGCAGGACTTCTGGAGGGCTGTATGTGGTGCAGACCAGTCCCTTGAAGGTTCCAATGCTCTGAATGACATGAAGGGTAGGTTTGTTTATTCTGTACTAGCCTCTGTCTCTACAGGTTTTTTAATTCTTACACTATGTAATTTATATAAAATTGAGAGTTTTTCATGAGATAAGATTTACTGTTTTTGTTTTGCTTTTCCCAACTTTTTATTCTTTAAAACTGTCAGAATAGTACAGTGAATGTCTATATACCCCTTGTTTATATTTACCAGTTTTAGTATTTTCTATTTATTTTAAATATTTTTATTTCTACCCCTGAACCATTTGAGAGTAAGTTGCAGACGTAACATTTTATCCCTAAATACTTTAGCATGTATCTTAAGAACAAAGGTATTGTATATAAACATATCACTCTAAGGAAATTTAACAAAAGTTCCCTACTTATATATAATATTCTTATTTATACAATAAATATCCTTACTTATTTTGTTTTTAAGATCCAGGATTACACATTGTGTTTAGTTCTTTTTAGGTTAATTTAGTTTAGGCCCTTTCACCACTCCCCCCCCTTTTTTTTCCTTTTAGTACATTGGTACTTTTGAAGAGTCCAGGACAGTTGTTTTTCAGAATATTTCTTTCTCAATTTAGATTTGTCTGATTGTTTTCTCATGTTTAGATTCAAGTTACACAGTTGTGGCAGAATTCCTACATTGGTGATGTTGTGTCCTTCTCAAGAAGTCAGTTTATCCTATTATTCATTAAAATGAGATCTATCAGATACCTCCATTATATGGGTAGCTTTTCCCTTTATAATACCTAGATTCAGGTTGTTATTTTGAGATTGTGGAAGAATGAGATATTTACACAACCTTTTATTTAGCAGTTTTTTGTATTCACTAATGTTTCTTGCTTGAATCAGGTATAACTGGTGATTGTACAATGGTGATTTTTCTGTTTTTATCCTTTGTTCTAAATTAGTTATTATTCTATTTTTTTTTTTTTTTTA